GTGAGGAAGACGAAAATTGCGTTCGCAGCCGTTTCTCGCGTTTGGGTGGACGGATATGTCTGGGACTTGGTATACGTTTTGCTGTTGGGCTGTAGATGGTGCACGTTGTTTTGGTTTTTTAGTATGTGTGTTTTAATGCGTGAAAATGATGCATTTAGACCGCCGATGGACACCCCTTGTGTGTGAAAATGGTTTTGTCTTTTGGTTTTCGGCGTGTATAAAGTGTCGTAGGTTGCGTCCACATCTGGTGAGAGGGGGTTTCAGGTATCGCGCGGGTCGCAGCCAGCCAACTTCCGGGTGGGCCAATGGGTCAGGGGTCAGCGGTCCGCTCTCCGCTCGACCGTCGGCACAGAGACGAGCGGCCGCACCGCCCGAGTCCGTCGCTGCCGTAAGGCGGGAACGCGCCGTAGAGCTGGCCGCGAACCCTCGGGAGCCTGAGCGCAGAACTCCCGGCCACACCTGACCGTTGCTTCCCTTCAACGCCCGAGCCGTCCCCGTCGGGAACGGTCCCGCACTCTCACGACTGACGCGCCCGGACGGCCGGATCTCTGACCGCCAAGTCCCTGTGTTTTCGAACTTCGGTGGGGATTTCCGTGTTGTTTTCTGATTTTCATCATCCACTAAGATAAACTTGAAGACCGAGGTTTAAACTTGGTGCCCCCGAATCCTCAAACACTCACAAAAACCCAGGTTTTGGGCCTATCAAGAAGGCTAGTATTTCAGTGTGTATATAAAATATATTTGTCTTTTATATACACACCCGGTGTATAGCCATGGCGTATGTAAAATCCGACCTCTTCAACCCCCCCCTCCTCAGTTATTTTTTTGAACGGCCCATTAGACCTTTACGAGAAACGAGATTTATCGAGTTGAAGATGACCAATTTTTGCGGGATTTCGAGCCCAAATACGCACCATATGGGGGTTATATTTGGTGCCTGCTTTATGGTGGCAAAACATAAGTTAATTACGTTTCTTGATGTTCACCTTCACTGAAGTTTCAAAATTATACATGTATGAAATTCCAGGCAGTTGTTATCATTGCACTTACAGAATTTAACATTTTCTCATAAATTATGTAAATTAAGTCTTCATTCACACCATCAATATCTGCCTGTGTTTCTCTTGTTCCAATCTCACAAGCTTCAAAGTTCAATAGTCCTATCATGGAATGCAGCTGATTTATAGAATTTCCCTAAATAATGCAAATTACATCAATATTTGCATGATTGTCACATAATTACATCAAGCATCATGTAAGCTACCTACCAAAAATCATGATGATCCGTCAACCGGTACTTGAGTTATCCTCTTTTGAATATACATTTTCAAACAGATAGCCCTGCAGTTCCAGAGCAAGCTGCTAGGGGCCCCAAACTCATGTCACTTCTTCCCCAGCACAAGAGCTAACCATCCAAATTTTGAAACCAGACTTTTAAACCGCTTTTGAAACTGCTAAATAATTAGCAGGGGAAAACTCATAATTTTTGTTGGCCTCATCTTGCCCACAATGTACGAAGAGTTTGCTTGATGTGCCCATCTCCGGAATCAGACCTCGACCGCAACCATCCTCATTTTTTTCAATCTCGCGGGCGTGATCGCTGTTGTCATTGGAGGGATGAACACTGCCGGTTTCATCAAAGAATGACAAAATCCTCCTTGCTTGGACTTCTGTCCTTCTGTGGATGACAAATTCTCTGTGAGATGTTTCCTTTGCCGTGTTCACCTATGGGAAATGCGCGGTGGAAACTGTCGAAAATTGTCGGGTCCTCAAGGGTAGTGCTGCATACCTACTAGTAAACCCACATTTAGGTTCAGGTCCGGATTGAAGTCCAGAGGTTTAGGTTCAGTGCCGGACTTGTAAGTCCGGACCTAAACCCACAGCATATACAAAATTGCAATGTTGTTTGGGCAAAATTTGACCACATAACATGGAGGCCGACACTTTACGATGCCCGATGGCAATATTTTCTTCATTTTGCAGCATAGATTTTGCAATCTACGGAAGGTTTTAGGCGGCTTGGAAAGAAAAGGGGTATGTGAAATGGTATTTTATGGTAATACGTCTGGACTGACCGGCGGACTCGGTTCTTGACTTTTAGGTTTTTTTTGACTTGAACCTAAACAAACATTCTTACAAGTCCAGATCCAAGTCCAGTGATCCGGTACGCAGCCCTACTCATGGGTGACGAAATCTAACATCAGAAAATGGAGAGTGCCCTTATTTGGTGGAGTCGCCTTTTGTTGCATGGTCGGAATTGCTCAACTTTGACCCCAAATAGCCTTATACGCATATATAATGAGACTCGTTTAGGTTTTCAGTCTATTCACATTGCCGCTAGTTTGCTAAAATGAAAAATACCGGTATTGAATCTAGAGCCTATTTTTTCCTTTTGCAAAATTGCAGATTGTATGATTTTTTTCTTCTGCAATCTTGAAAATATATCAGCAAATTGCAGACTGCAGACGGGTACATGTATTTCGAACATGATGTCTTCTCTGTCATGACCACTGGAAGATTAGCTAACTTAAGGTGTTCTGAGCAAAACTGATTTGACATCACTTTTCACTGACACTTTTCTAACAGGTATAAAAGCAGCCCACCACACAACATGGCAAAGACAAAGACAAGCAAGAGGAGGAGGACCTCCAGTGATGATGTAACAGCTAGTGAGTACAAAATAAATTGATGACCTCTGGAATGTCTTTCCATACATGTATATATGCTGTGGCCTAAAATAAAGCCATTATGAATAAGCCATTAATTAGGCTTCAGGTTGCCATATGGGAGACATTGGAGACAATGCACTGATGTAATTTTTGGACACAATAATATATCGAGTCCTAATTGACTTAAGTCACATGGCATGAGTGTGAATCTATTCTCTAACAATTACACCATGATATATATATATATATATATGCACTCAAATACAGAATTTTGCAGAAACTACCTAGTCCCACGGGACCAACCAATGTCACCTATGTAAATTGTAATTGTAAACATGTATTGTGTGATATTCTAGAATATCAAAGTTCCTTCTTTAACTTGGTCGTCCGGAATTGGAGTGTTAGTTTGGAATTAAAGTGTCACCTGTTTATACATTTTGTAATGGAAAACATAACCTTCTTGACAAAGGTTCCTTTCAAAGCTTGTATTTTATTGTAGCCAAGAAGAGTCGTGCAGCCGTTGAGAGAGTCCCTTCAGGTGATGTGTCGGAGGATCAGTCCATGTTTTTGCAACTTGTAGAACAGGCAGGGCTGGTGTTAACAACAGGGAACCAGCCCAACCAGCTGTGTAAGTCAACAGTACTTTTGTCTCCAATCCCTAATCCCTCAGTACCGGTACTGTACCTGTATAGAGTTGTGTATGTTTATTTGTGGCCTAAAATAGGGAAATATCTGGTCCCCCATGGGTCCCATAGACAGGACAGGGTGTTTGTGTTAGCAGACTGACAATATTAAATACCCTGAAAGTGTTGTGTATTAGATATGCTCCCTTTAGATGAGACTTTGGTCAGGTTTGAGTAGCGTGAGGTCACTTTGGGTAGGAGATGAAAACTAAGACATCTTTGTTTTGCCCATGTTTTGTCTGAGAATTCTCCATATATATCTAAACAAAAACTTACCCATAACTGTCAAGTTTTTTATCTGATTATTGAAGAAGTTCAGGAGAACATGTTACTTAATGTTGAATTGTTCAGGTACAGCTTCAGGTCCGGACCTGTACCTAAACTCGTCTACCTGAACCTGTACCTAAAATTTGTTAAGGTACACTGTACACAGCTCTACTGTAAAATTGGTCTTTCTGGCATTTTTCCACAGCTGTGGACCAAGCTGTATTCCAGAGGAACCTCAGATTGGCCATTAGAAACCATCAGGAGTTTCCACAGGTACGCAATTAACCCTACATTTGTGCCAAGAAATAGTGCTGGCACTGGTACATTAAAAAAAAAATGTCCAAAAGTTTCCATTTCCCTTGGATAGTGAATCTGACATGTGTCTACAATGCAACATGTGCACCTACAGTATTTGGCGCATGCCTCAGAGTCTTGTGGGGCAGTGTGGGATTAGGGATAGCCCATTGGCAATTTTGGAATACTCTGTGTGACAGAAATCCTGCATGCACGTGGTGGGCTGAAAAAAGTTAGTCTTGAGGGTTGGTAACCGTTACATGGACCTTAAGAAAGTTTTAAATGGACCAGAAAGTATTTTGAGCTCCACTACATGTATGTAATGTTGTTGACAGGTAAAACAATAGGCATGAAGTTTTATATTTTGCAGATTGGGAACAGTGATGGGGGGTGCCCTAACTTTGGACGTGCCCTAAGTACTAACTTGCATAAGTATGCCGGGGTTTGTTGCCAGTCATACAGCTGTCAATGCATACAGCTGTTATTTGCATGCAAAGTATAGTTACCGTAAATACCGTAAAGTAATGAAGTAGGCACCACGATTGTCCATACATGGAAATTATGCTGTTTTCTGGTCACAACAGGTCGTGGATGAGTTTTTGCAGGGACTGCAGGCTCATGTAGAGGACCCTGATAGGTAGGTGACAAATAACTAGATACAATTAGGCCACACCAATTTAATTTGTTGGTTCTCAGATTTTTGCAGAAAAAATATGAAGCGACAGGGCGAAAAAAAATAAAAATAAAAACAGGTCTAGGCATCCTATTACAGTGCTCTCCTGTTATTTGCATGGACGATTTGTCAGGGAATTTTATTCCTATAACAGGTTTAGTCCAATAACCTTAGGAGAGTCCACACGACGGACAGGGAGGGGAGGTCAGTTGGTTATGGATGATACTGGGCTGGGGCCAATTGAAACAACCACAAACATGATGTTATTGGTATTTATATACTCACTTTCACCCACAACTAACGTTACATACATGTACCATATTCTAATCTTCAAGTCGCATTCAGAAACTTATAATGAACAGGGCTAACATGGAGATAGAAGATCAGACACATTCCACCTTCATACTGTCTACCCCTGTGTTGGGCAAAAGCTTACCAAACCTAAAACAACAGCCCAATCAAGGACACCAAAAAGGAACAAATGACTTCTTCACACAATCATCATTGAGTGATTGGGGGTTCTCACCTGTCCAGAAGGAAGTGACAACAGAGAAAGTGTATGACAATGGAGGGTGCAGGGGTGATAATGAATGAATAACAATGGACTTCATGCGGATTTGCTGATGCGCAACAAATTACATGTATTTCTTTCACGTACTTCTGGGTCAGTGTGCCATTGACTTGGAAATATTTTAGTCCAATATCAGGTTAAAGTCATAACAGCTCATGCAATTATGCCATGCAATTTATAATGTAGTGAATGGGAAATGGTTTGGGTTTTCAGAATTTTATGCAGATCCCAGGTTTATGCCAATATCAGTGATGCAAATAGTTGGTGAGCACTGTATAGGCTTAAATGGTACAAAATGAGCCATGAAGTCAACACAAGGCTGGGTTAAAATGTAAACATTGAATTTTGAACTTTTAATCAAACCACTGCAATGATAGATGGGAAAACTGTAACAACTAGGAAGAAAAGGACTTTCCTCAACTGTTGGGGGGCAAAACATGAGCATTTTTCAGTTTATTCAGGACCAGAATCAAATTTTTTTTTTTGCAAATCAGAAAAAAACGAAGAGGCGAATCCGAGAAACAACAAATTAAATTGGTGTGGCCTAACATTACAGAATATTTATATGTACATAAAACTCTTAAGGCCACACCAATTAAATTTCTTGGTTAACGGATTTTCCTACAAAAATAATGGAGCAGGCGGGCGAAAAAAAAAAACAAAACAAGAAGCCATAGGTGACAATTCTCCGTGAAGTATTATATATTGCAACAAAAAGAAGTAGCCATTGGCGACAATTCTCTGTGAAGTGTGATAAATCGAACAAAGAAAAATTGTTTAAACGCGCGTCGGCTCAGTCATCTTAAGACGCAACAACCAATCAGAGATGCGAAATGCCGACACGTAACGCGGGATTTGCATACAGTCTAAACAACGGGGAAGGGCGTGCGATGCCCGAAATATTTTTGCGTCAATATTCAGCGCCGTGTTTCAAGAGATTAATACCGGGAAACAATTTCTTTTCTTGTTTTGAACGCATAAACATGCATTTACGCTAATCTAGTATGATTCAGACTTACTTTTTATGGGTTTCTGGTGTGGTGAAACCATATTGCTTTTTCTGATGTTTCTTCTTCTTCTTCTTCTCCTCCTTCTCCTCCTGCCATTTTTTAAATGGATTCAGCTTCTTCACTTTAGGGCCTAAGGTCCTGAAATTTGGTATGGAGGTACAGTGGGCAAATACCCCTAGGCGTTTTTTAAATTATTGTGATACAGGCTTTTAGAATGGTTTTATTTGAGTTTTTTGGCTGTGTTATAGCAAATGTATTACTGT